GGTGCCCATCCTGGTCCTAGCCCTGGTACTGGTCCCAGTCCTGGCGCTGGTCCTGGCTCTGGTCCCTGTGCCGATCCCAGCCCTGGTCCCCATCCTGGTGGTGGTCCCAGCACTGGTCCCCATCCTGGTGGTGGTCCCAGCACCATCCTGGCCCCAGTCCTGGTCCCCGTTCCAGCCCTCGTCCCACTGCCAGTCCTGATGCTGGCCCTGGTGCTGGTCCCAGGCCTGATCAGGGTCTTGGTGCTTGTCCTGGCTCTGGTCCCAGTGCTGGTCTCAATCCTGACCCTGGTGCCAGCCCCAGCCCCAATTCCCATCCCAATCACAGCCCTGGTCCCCATTCTGGTGCTGGTCCCAGTGCTGGTCCTAATCCTGGCCTTGGTGCTGGTTGCAGGCCTGATCCTGGCCCTGCTACTGGTTTTCATCCTGGCCCCAGTCCTGGTCCCCATTCCAGTCCTCATCCCACTGCTGGTCCTGATCCTGGTCCTGGCCCTGGTGCTGGTCCCAGGCCTGATCAGGGCCTTGGTGCTGGTCCTGGCACTGGTCCCGGTGCAGTCCTGATCCCAGCCCTGGTGCTGACCCCAGTTCCAATCCCCATCCTAGTCCTAGTCCTGGTCCCCAGTTTGTGCTGGTCCCAGTGCTGGTCCTGATCCTGGTCTGGGGCTGGTCCCAGCCCTGATCCAGTCCTGATCCCAGCCCTGGTGCTGGCCCCAGCCCTGGTCCCCAGCCTGGTGCTGGTCCTGGCTCTGGTCCCAGTGCTGGCCCTAGTCCTGACCCTGGTGCTGACCCCAGTCCCAATCCCCATCCCAGTCCCAGCCCTGGTCCCCAGCCCGGTGCTGGTCCCAGTGCCGGTCCTGATCCTGGTCCTGGGGCTGGTCCCAGCCCTGACCCAGTCCCAATCCCAGCCCCAGTCCCCATCGTGGCCCTGGTCCTGTCCGTGGCGGGTGACACTCCCCCCTCTCTCCCCAGACCAGCATGAAGAACATGGAGCGGGAGCTGGTCTGCCCGGTGTGCAAGGAGATGTACAAGCAGCCGCTG